CCTGTGGGCTGGGCAGAATCAGGCTGGGCCCCCAGGAGTGCTGGGCCTGGGCCAGCAAATCACCAGGATGGGAAAGGAGCAAGAGGCCAGATTCTCATTGCCCTTGTCAGCTAGTGCCTCTGCTCCAGAACTGTAGCCCACTTATTGTGGCTGGAAACGTCCTGAGACTTGATTTTAAACAGGCCATGCATTCGGGCCACTTCTGAGGAGGCAGCCTCTCCCGAGGAACCCTTCCTCTTTCTGGAGTATTTGATCTTTGTTCCAGTTGTCCTGGGTTCTGAGGCTTTGTAGAGATGCAGTCAAGTCAGAAAGGGGAAACAAGAAACCCTTAACCACTCTCACAGCTATTGGTGGTTTCATTGTTTACAAAGCAGTTCTCACTGAGTTTCATCTGTTGTCCGAGGGGTACAGTAAGTGTTCAGGTTACAGACAACTGGTACTTGCCCTCTCAATGTTATATAAATTTGCCCTCACTTTGAAATGATTGAACCAACCTCTGCTCACAATGAATTCTTCATCACAGTCACCTTCACTTGCTGCATGTGCAGCCTGTAAATCATTGACAAGGCTTCAAGCCTTTTCTTGCACTAAAATAAGGCAGCATAAGAACCGTAAGCACCTGTTCCAGCTTAACTACAAATTCTTAAAGACACACTTAGGAACAATCTCATTCATAACCCAGGGACTGCCTGTACTGTAATTTTTATTCCCATTTTACAGAGAAGAAAACAAACAAGGCACACAAAATTAAGTATCTTGCCCAAAGTCCTGCTGAGAGATATCAGAGCCTTGGCTGGAGCCTGGATCCTCTCTGCCATTACCATCCACAGCACCTTTTCTGGCTCTTTGAGGTGGGGGAGGCCATGTCCAGTGGACGTTTCGTTCAGGGTCAGCTCTTGGCAGTAAACCAAGGCTGTCACAAGGATCCTGTGAGCAGCTGCAGATGGCTGTGATGGGGAATAAAGTCACCAGACCTGCCATGATGGCCTTTGTCTGGGTTGCCCTTGAGAATTCAATTGCATTCTGCACATGTGTCCTCATTGCTGTCTGAGGCCTTCCCTAAACCTAACCTCGGCCTGCACCTGCCTCCTTTGTGCCCAACCTTTGCTCTTGATAATCTCAGGGTCAGCTGGACTTAGCACAGTTTCCCGGAATCTGCAAGGCCATCCTAATTTAAGTATCACTTCCTCTTCTTTAAAGGAAAGTCAGTAAGAAGGACTACAAACTCAAGGCTGCATCCATCCTCCTTCCTCCCCCCTCCCTACTCCCAGACAGGTAGCCCTGAAACATGCCCTAAAGTCCTCCTGCATCCACAGGTGCGTGAAAACACAGCATGATCTCTGCCATGGTCCGCCCCTTTTTTCTGCTGGGCACTTCCGAGGGGGAGTGGAAGCCTCCTCTCTACTGTCAGGACACTGACTCTCCCAGCAGTGTTCTCCCCCAGGGCCACGTGGTGCTGGGCTGGAAAAGGAGGATAGATTGGAAGTGGGTTTGCTCTGCCAAGTATCTGTACTTCCCCACCGCAGTCTCCCTTGTTTCCTCTCTGTATAATAAGGGACCCACAGTGTCTACAGCTGCCGTGTCTGCCAGGGAAGATGAATGGAGGAGACCTAAGCTCTGTCAGCTGCTTTCAGATCCTCTTTTCCGTAGTGCTTCATTTGGGGAGCTCCAACCATGGCAAGCACAGGTTCATTAGATAGTTCTGTGAACCTTTTCTGACCCTCAGAGCCTCTGCTGTGTATATGCCATCCCCACCCCCACACACTGCTGGTTGGGCAATTGCTTCCTTAGAATAAAATTTCCCAGGTGAAAGGTAAGGAGGAGACCAGTTAGTCCTCTGAGAGCACTCATTACCCAGCACCAGCCTCACTTGGCCTTTCCTGGCCTTGCCCCCATAGTGACTGTGCACTCTGATAACCTAAGAAGAGAAAGGGTCTCCAGGCAGGTTTAGGCCATAGCATCTAAAGGATGGTGGGTCCTTTAGAGATGAGCAGCAGGCTCATGTCTTAAAGAATAATCCCACCTGAGTGCTGAACTGAACGATCCCAAGTAGTAGGTGTGGGAGAGTCTCTTCCACATTCTGTGGCAGAGAGTTCCATACCTCCTCACCTGTAAGGTAAGGTAGCAGTGCCACCAGGCACCATCTCCCCTCTCCACCTGCAGAAGGTTGCCATATAAAATACAGGATGCCCAGAGAAATTTGAATTCAGATAAACAATGAATAGTTTTTTCAGTATAAGTATGGAACACTGCATGGGACATACTTATACTAAAAACTTACTCATTTATCTGAAATTAAAATTTTTCTGGGCAAGAACTAAAACAATTTCCAAGGCCAACTCTTCAGACAGCAGTTGGACTGGACTGGGGACATAAAGTGATACTCGTGTGCCTTTAGCTGAAGTAGATACAAGAGACTAAACAGGCAGCTTCTGTCTGGAGGTGACATGGGAAGGCAGAGAGGGTTAGGAGCTGGTTGAATGGACATGGGGAATTGGGTGGAAAGGAGGAGTGTGCCGTCGCAGTATGGGGTGAGCAATTAGGGTCACATAACAATGTATGTATAATTTTTTGTTTGGGAGACCAACTTGAAATGTAAACTTCATTTAAACTACAACAATAAAAAAAGAAAGAAAAATCAGTAACTCTTGTCAAATGCATGGGGTAGTAGGGGCAGGAGAAATGCAGAACAGAATGTTGAAAAGAAAAAAAAAGAGCATCGAATTGGAGTGAGAGACTGAACTTATTTAGATTCATGGACATGAATGTTTCCATATATTTATTTTAGCCTGGAGCAATTAAAAACATGAGAATTTATACAGTTGGGCTATTTTGGATATGTCAGTTAACCATGGTCTTTTAAAAGGTAGATGTTTTAAAAATAAGTAAACATTCCAGCAAGTTGTGACTCCAAAAAAACAAAAAATTTCTCTGGGCACCCTGTATTTTTATTTGCTAAATCTAGCAATCCTAACTCTGAGGGCTTATATCCAACCTAAAAGCAGGCCCAGTTGTGTTTCTAACCTGTTCTGGCCTCTCATCGATGGTGTAGCGCCTGATCCAGTACTGGGTGGTGGTTACTAGTCCTTGATAACACACATTATCAGGGACTGGCTGCTGCTCTTGGATCATCTGCTGTCTTCATGGCCCTGGTGCAGGCTGGCTTCAAAAACAATAGTGATACCATTGGCTACCACTTACGGAACACCTGTGCTGTGCCAGGCATTATACATACACTGTTTCATTTTATGTTCACTGCAGCCCTTCAGAGGAGGGGCCATTATCCTTTTTTTTTTTTTTTTTCCTGTTAAGAAAAGTGAGAAGTGGCAATGTTATGTGTTTGCCTAGAATCAGGATTCGAACTTGGAACCCCTAGCTCAGCACTTACATGCTTCCCTGTCTGTAGTGAAGCGCAGGGTTAGTGGCAACAGGCTTGGCTGGAAGCAGGTGGATTGGCCAGGACTTCCAGGGTGCTGTGGGGAAGGAGAGCGAGGCCCTGACCTCCAGAGGCACACAGGTTCCTGAACCATCGATGGAATGACCTTGTAACAGCAGATGCACATTTTCCACCGTGCAACAAAAGAAAAATTAGTGCAGAGATTCAATTATGACTCCCATTTTCAGTGGCAATTTTGCTCTCTCAGTAGATTAATTAGCAGCAGAGATCTCCTCCCCCAGGCAAATCGCAGGCCCCTTTATAGCACAGAGGTACATTAAAATGCAGCTGTGTCTCATTAAGCAGCCAGCCTGGCTTTTCGCTTCAGCATTATGCTCCCTTCTCATCTTGCCAGTGGGCTTGGGGCAGGACCGAGGGAAACCATTTGTAATGACCCCGGCCCAGCTTCGGGAGCTGGGCATCAACCTTATAAGGGACCTTGTGTGTGGAATGTGGGCACAGAGGTGCTTGATCTCCCTGTCTTAGGGGAATTTAGGGAAAGGCCTCTTCTGTCATCCAGCAGAAGCAACCTGGCCCCAAATTATCTTCCAAGGAGAGGAGAGAAGGGCGAGGGGAAGGGGAGAGCTAAAGGTATTTAACTTCTAACAGGTGCACTTTATGTACAGGCAGTCCCTAACGGGGTCCTGTTACATCGTCGTACATCAGTTCTGGCATAACTCGAATACCTTTTCTTTTTTTTTAGTTTTCATTATTATTACCTTTTATTTTCAGTATCTTTATAAATCTGATCTTTGTCTTTGGGAGTTGGAAACATTACATATAAACTTACAGATTTATTTTAATACATAGATATATACATACTACTAACGATAAGATGTACCCACAAAAAAAAAAAAAAACAGTCTTAAGTGCAGTTCGTGGTAACTCGAATACATTGTAAGTTGGGGACTACCTGTGCTTCACCTTCACAGCAGCCCTGTGAGGTAATTTTTACTACCAGATTTCTCACATTTCAGATGTACCTTTTTTCACCTTTTGATCTATCTATGCAGGAGGAATCGCTTTCTCTCCCCACCACCTCAACACACCACTGATTCATGGTGTCCTACACAACCACTGCCAGGAAGTACGACAGCACTGTCTTACTGTTGAGGAAAATGAGACTCAAGAGATGTTACGTCCTTGACCAGGGTTGCCCAGCTAATGGGTGACTGGCTAGGAATTTGAACCCATGTTGACTAAGCATGTTCTTTCTTCTTTCCTTAAAGTCTTGTTACAAATTGCAGTGTTCTCCTGTGCCCAAGTCTCTCGTGCCCTTTCCCTTTGATAAGTTGTTGCCTTCTCCTTTTCATTTTATTTTCATTCACATCTGAACCAAAAAAATCCTCCTATAGCCCAAGTGTGAGCAGTTTGGATGTTCCTCAAAGAGTCATGGGTGCACCTTCTGGGCACTAGCTGTGTTCATCTGTTGTGTTTGCTATAACCCAGTAGTCCCCTCTTGGTCAAGTGAGCCAGATTATATGGGGGAGGTGAGAGATGGTGCAGGGGAGGCAGTTTCTCTTACTGGATTCTATTGACAGACATCTTTCTCATCTCCTTCTAGGTACATTGAACGGAAAGCTTTTCTAGACCGAGTGGATCACAGGCAGTTTGAAATTGAGCGAGATCTCAGGCTGAGCAAAATGAAGCCCTGATGTTCTGAGGGAAAATCAATATCAGCTTAATCCTGTTTACAATGTGAGCTTCTTGTGCATCTGTGAAATGTTTCTGGTTTTTCTCATCAAGGTTTCCCAGTAAGGTCTTTTTTTTCTGCATTGAAGTTCTGCCTGTGTATCTTGCTCTCATGTAGTTTCATTCATTTTTACTTTTAAAAGTTTGTCTTTAAAAAATAAAAATAAAAATTGGTCCTGTGAGAGGTTGGTGAAGATGACGGCATTCCTTGCCTTCCTTTTATTCTGCTGCAAAGTCCAACCCGGCCAACACATTCCAGCCATGTCTTGCCAGCCATGGTGAACAGAGCTGACCAGTCTGGATGTGGATTTTCCGAGGCCACTGGCTCACGGGGCTGTCTCCTCCCAAAGTCGACCTTGCCTCGGATACGTTGGGAAGGAGCCCAGAGCACTGGTGGAATGCCAAGTCCCTGGGCAGTATTGTATTCACTTTGGTCTTGCTTTTGTCCCGATCTCTTTCCCTCTCCTGAATGGGATTCCTGTTAATATAGCCTAAGACTGAGAATAAGGATATATTATTGCTGAATTAAGAGATCTTTTTTCCCTTCAGCCTTTTTCCTCTTCCCAAAGTTAAAGTCAACTTCAGATAAGCTCCCACCTCGATAATTCTTTAATTTTTGGTTTGTCAGAGATGACTCAGAAGAGCTGTTTCTTTTTTATACCCTCTTCAGAAAATTTAAATTCTAAACACCCGTGTAGCATCAGAAATTTTGAGAGCGGCAAGAAGGAGAATGACAGATCTGTGGTGAAGAGGGAAATGGAGGTAGAAACCATTCACATTAAGTATTAAACCCCAGGACGTGTGTGTGCGCGTGCTGAATAACACAAACAGGTTTGGGAGAAGGTAGGGTTGAAAGACTAAAATCCAATCTCTGATCAGACATCTGCCAGCTATTAGACCTTGACGAAGGGTCAACTTCTGAGCGTCTGTCTTCTGGTCTGTAAATGGCATGAGTAACACCTCATAGGGTTGACATGAGCTAATGAAAGGCCTGAAGGGTTACAAACCCTAGCTCGTGCACGTCTCCCCACCCAGCCCTCCAGTTTCTGGTCAGGAGCTCATGGTAACCAAGACCTGATTGTCAACCCTGAATGGTTATGTGGTTATGGACCTTATTACTCAGAAAGCTGGTTTACAAGCTACATTTGAACACATTGTCTGTTCATATCCACTCCTATAAAGGAGTGGTAATAGAGCACTCAGATCAGCATGAGAACAGGCAGCGTATGAGGCCTGAGTATGATCCTGCACCAGGTCAGGAATAACAGGACTAAGTCCTTTAACCCAAGACCTGCGGTGTTCTGATTAGGGTAGGACATCCAAGCTGGCAGGAGGGACCAGCTAAGATCAAGATGAAAATCCCACCCATGCGTTACTCTCTGGAGCCACTATTTCACTACCATTTGGATGACTCTTTCCCTAACTTCTCTGGAGTTTTGAGTGCCTCTAGTGTTCTATTTCACACAGTTTTTGTCTCAACTGCCATTATATTGGCAATGCACAAGTTGGCTCCTCTCCCTATTTGAAAAATGATCTGGAATTCTACAGAATAAATGGTACTGGGCTCATTTTAAGCTGGGGTTTTTCTTTGTAGCAAATGTTCACCACCTTTGAAACCCTAACAGACAAGAGTTGCAAGAACATGCTGGGTTCTTCTTACAGGTGGGTTTGCTGTTCTCGCTTTCCCCCAAGACAGGGAGAGAGAAGTCAGATATGTCAATGAAAATCACTACTGTGTGCCTTGCCCTGTTTTGCTGGAGGTCCAACTTTCGTACACCTCCACCTGTACTCTGATTAGATTACTGTTACACCTCCGCAGGTCCTGTATGCCATCTCTAGATCTGGTAAGTCTTCTCCCAGCAGGTTTGTTGTACACACCTGACCTCCACTCCATGACTCTTTACACATCTGTCTTTTGAAAAGCCCCTGGAGTTCCTTCTTTTGAAAGAATCTGGCAGCTTATCAAGGATACACAGCTATTTGCACCATTCCTGTTGCAGATCCCCTCCTTCCCAACTTCCTAGATGCCTGCTTTGGTATGCCCAGACTCTCATATTTTAAACTGTTTGTTTGCCTTCACTTCAACTGTCTCCCTTTTGATCTAAGTGTAACCTCTTTAAGAACCACCTGTACTGAACTAACGTCATCTCTTTGATGAAGCAGCTGTCTACAGCTGATGTATTTGTATGAGTATGTATGTACACACATGTATCATCTTACAATGAGACTTTCAAAAACAACTTCAAAGCAGACTTTTATGTCTCATTGGCCATAACTGGGTCACGTGAACACCCGTAGCTGCAAGAGAAGCTGGAAAAGTGAGTGTTTAGCACTTCCGGCCTCTGCTGTGGAAGACAAGCAAGAAGAAGGGGGATGGGAATGAGTGATGGGTCAGCAGCCACATTCAGTCTTTGTAATAAACCAGGCTTTGCTCCATTTGGTCTTTAAAATTATTCCAGAGGAGTGGGTGGAGGGTAGAGTGCCGTGGTTGCAGAATGAAGTGTTCCTCCTGTGCTAGCCAGCACTCACAGGCAGAGGGTTAAACAGGTGTAAGAGAGAGTGCAAGGAACTGATGCGGTTGCCAAGGAGCAGGCCAGCGCAGTTCAGTGACAGGGCAAACTGGAGGGCAAGGAGGGCATCCACGGAGGTGCCTGAATACGCATGGGCCATTCCTAGACCTTGCTCTTGATCATCTGTGGCAGGACCTGCCTTCCCAGCCAGCACTGCCACCTCTTCTTACCTCATTCTCAAAGGACAGTAAGCTGCCTCCACAAATGCCTAGCTTTTTTGGGTGAGGCCATGCTGGGTGGTGGTGCTGATGGAGGTGTGTTATCTTTAATCAAGAGGCACCTTTTCCATGAAAGTCTTGTTTGAACCATGGCAGACACTCTCTAGCCCACATTTTTTTTTTTTTTTTAAACTGTGGTTTAAGTGAAAGTTTATAGTTCAAGTCAGATTCTCATACAAAATTTATACACACATTGCCATGTGACCCTAGCTGCTTTCCCTATAATGTGACAGCACACTCCTCCTTTCCACCCTGGATTTCCTGTGTCCATTCAACCAGCTCCTGTCCCTTTCTGCCTTCTTATCTCGCCTCCGGACAGGAGCTGCCCATTTAGTCTCATGTATCTACTTGACTTAAGAAGCATTCTCTTCATGAGTATCATTTTATGTCCCACAGTCCAGTCTAGTCTTTGTCTGAAGAGTTGGCTTTGGGCATGGTTTCAGTTCTGGGCTAACAGAGAGTCCAGGGGCCATGTCTTCTGGGGTCCCTCCAGTCTCAGACCATTAAGTCTGGTCTTTTTACTAGAATTTGAGTTCTGCACCCTACTTTTCTCCTGCTCCATCAGGGACACTGTGTTGTGTTCGTCAGGTTGGTCATTGGTGGTAGCTGGGCACCATCTAGTTCTTCTAGTCTCCGGCTGATGGAGTCTCGGGTTTATATGGCCCTTTCTGTCTCTTATCTAGCCCACAATTTTAAAGAACAAATGGAAATATTTTACCTAGCTATTAGTGAAAACTAATCTCCTGCCTAACTCCCAAAGGAAATAATGCTCCTTTATCCAGAAGTTGGGAACTGCCTAGGAAAACGTTTGTAGGGAAGCGGAAAGAATGAGTCAGTGCTAAAAGGCAGTTTGGCAACCCTCTGTGGGATACAGCATTGTCTCTTGCTGTGGCCTGCATGGCTGACAAAGGATGCCCCAAAGGCCCTTCTGAACTGGTCCTGCAGAGTCTAGATGGTCCCTGAGAGATGAGTTTCCTGGCCATGCTCTTGCCATCAATATTCTGCCTTCTCTGTGTCCCAGATGGACGTGTCGGATTTCCAGGGCATCTGGTACCTTCCCATTGCTCTAAAATAGTATAAGGTCAAAGAATAAAATAAGCCTCTTTATGAGTACTGCTCACCTATTTTCACGAGGAACAGAGCACTCTAATTAGGAGCTCTGTGTAAGGTCCAAAGGGGATGCATTAAGAACTAAATCTTAAGTGAGCTGTACATGGTCAGAGCTAATAAGGAACTGGACTAAGAGCCCCCAAGACACTTTTGCCAGTGCTTGTCTCCGTGAGAACTATGCCGGTACAGATTCCTCCTCTTCAAAATGTTGTTTTTAATGGCTAATAATCCTGCTCTGCCTACCTCACAGCATTTTATTAAATGAAACACACTATCCAAGTGTTAAGTTACTATTATTAAAATTGTCTGCCTGGCTTCTAGCTCCCCAAGAAAAGCAAGCTTGTGGGAGTATAAATTAATACTACTTTGAAGAACACTTTGGCAAGGTCTAATAAACCTAGAGCTGCACCAGCCTGTGGCCCAGCAGCTCTACCCTTGGGCTTACATCCTAGAAAAGCACTGGCATGCACACAGGAGGCAGGTTGAGGATGTCCGTGCAGGACCATTGGCAACCATAGAAAACTGGAAAACCACCCAAATGCCCATCAGGAAATGGGTTGATTGTGACATATTCACACAGTGGAATAAGACACAGCAATGAAGTGAATAAGCTGGAGCTCACAGATGAGCAAGGTGCAAAAGACCTAAAGTATGACCCCGGTTATGTAAGTTTAAAAACACGCAACCAATGTTCTGGAAATAGATAATGGTGATAATTACACACATTGTGGATGTATTTAATGTCACTGAATTGTACATTGAAAAATGATTAAAATGGTAAATTTTATGTGATGCACATTTTACTGTAAAAATAATGTAACAAAAACGAGGGTGGGAATGGAGGGAGGGGAATTCACTAACTAGATAATAGACAAGAATTTTCTTAGGTGAAGGGAAGGACAACACACACTACAGGGGAAGTCAGCACAACTGGACTAAACCAAAAGCTAAGATGTGTCCTGAATACAACCAAACACTTCAGGGGACAGAGTAGCAGGGGTGGGGGCCTGGGGACCATGGTTTCAGGGGACATAAAAAGATAAATGGCAAGTTTTATGTTATGTATGTTACCACATTTTTTTAAACATGCAAACAATACTATATATATTGGTTGGAATTAATATATAAATGAGTGATAAACAATAAATTCATCATAGCGGTTACCTCTTGTGGGATAAGATAGGTAATACGATCAGGGAAAGTTAAAAAAAAAAAAGGCGCTTCATTTGCAGGTGTGTTTTTTTTTTTTTTTTTTAATCTTACATTAGGAGATGGAGACACAGATATTGTGTTATTCATTATACCTTTCTACTTATCTGAAATATTTCAAGGTAAGTTTTTTTTTTGTTTTTTTTTAAAGAAAAGACCAACATTCAAACTTCCGTCACCTCTCTGTCAGTCTCCTTTCAAAAGGTCCAAGGGAAGGGCTGTTCAAGGATGGAAGGGTTGCCATGGTGATGGGCTTTGCTAGATGTCAAGTAGCTTTCTCTGCATCCATTCTGTGGTAGCAGGCATTCTGGAATGATCCTCCCAAATGGCTCCTGGAATGTTTCCCAGGAGATGAGAGACTCCCATAGACAGGTGATCTCCCAGGACCCCTTCCCTAAGTCCCTTTTCCCTGGAAAGTAGGTTCAGAGGGCCTGGGGAAGCTGGGGGCAGGGGGGCTGTGCCAGCCAATGGTGCAAAACCTGCTGTGTCAGCCTTCCCCTTACCGATATGGCTTGGCAGATGTGCAGAGACAGGACATGAACGAGCCAGATGTTAGCTACTGCAGCAGCCTCCACTTGTTATGTGCAAAGTAAATAGCTCCTGACCTGGACAAATGAGCTTGAAATGTAAAGACACCAAAATAATTTACAGTGAAGACTGGGTTTTCTAGTGGAAGTTAACTGCCTGTCTTCAAACTGCCTAGCATCCTGAGCTATCCCTATGGCTCTTGGTTATGGCTGTGACATGAGGCTGCTGTGGGTGCCCTCTCTAGGGAGGTGTGACCCTCACTACTCCAAGCCCTTTAGGGCAGCACGGTGTGCAGGACAGGTGAGGGCAGGGCCAGGAGGGGCTTTGCTGGGGCTGATCCCTCTCCAGGTGCATCTTCTCCCAGGTCCCCTGTTGGAGGGCAGGAAGCTGTCCTCTTTGATTAGCTTCACTAACCCGTTAATGATTTCAGGGCTGTCTTCCAATTAAGGAGCCCTGGTGGTGCAGTGGTTAAAGCAATTAACTGCTAACCAAAAGGTCAGCAGTTTGAAACCACCAGAGGCTCCACGGGAGAAAGATGTAGCAGTCGGCTTCCGTAAAGATTTCAAGCCTCGGAAACCCTGTGGGGTTGCTTTGAGTCAGAATCAACTCAACAGCAGTGGGTTTGGGTTTTGGGTTCTCCCAATTAACACATTTGCATTACAACCTGGGCCTGCCTAAAGAGCACCCTGACCAGCAAAGGGAAAACGCTATTTTTAAGTCAGGAAGCTCTGGGGTACTGGCTGGCACTGTCAGGTGCAGGGTGGACCCACTCTGTCCTGAACACCCCATCTGATTGCTTCATCTTTACTGCCATCTCTCGCTGGACCCTGTCACAGCTCTGTCACTGAACTCCCTCACTGGACCTTTAAGGAGCCCTGGTGGCGCAGTGGTTAAGCGTTCTGCTGCTAACCAAAAGGTCGCTGTTTCAAACCTACCAGCTGCTACACGGGATAAAGTTGTTGCAGTCCGCTTCTGTAAGGATTTACAGCCTTAGAAACCCTATAGGGCAGTTCCACTCTGTCCTGTGGAGTCGCTAGATGGCAACAGGTTTTATTGGACCTTTGAAGTTGAGGCTGGGGACAATAGAGGGGAGCCTGCCAATCCACATCCCCACCCCAGCCCTTCTGCACCAGCAGTGTCTCACGTGATGTGTGTGCCCTTAAGAGGTCTGTAGACACGTGGGGCCGGAAATCAGACTAAGCATCATCGTGGAGGTCTGTGTTGCCTTTGCAATGCAAGTGGTGGTTTCCAGAAAAATTATAAGTATTCCACTTTAGTCTAACTCTTCCTTGCCACCAGACGTCTTCCACAGGCAAGATGAGAGCTGAAAGCTCCTTAAAGTTGTCCGTAACTTGGAAAAGCAGCTGAACTAAGACCTGGGATGCAAGTGAGAAATTCAAACAACATCCACCCAAGTACCAACAAACACAGCTGAATGGGCAACGCTTTGCTGCCAGGTTGACAGCAGATGGCAAGAACCGCACGCACGCACACACACACTGTCATACCAGCAACATCAAGCGTGCAGTACGTCAGCTAGGTTGCCTTGCTGCTTGGAGAATACCCAACAGCCAGATGCACAACGTCCCTGTCAAAAGAGGCCCTGCACGGGGCAGCTTATCCTAGCTTCCTAGCCACAAAGCCAGTGTGGGCTCCACCTGCAAGAGGCTTTTCCTCCTTCTGGCATACCTCCTATTGTTATTCTAACTATAGAAAGAATCTGTTCACTGTTTGAAAATGTGAAAGCAGAAAAATCAAACAAAATTTAAATCACCCATAATCCTACTAACAGAGAAAAGTACTTTAACATTCTGGCACCTTTTTTCTCTGTCTTTTTTCAAGTGCTTTTGTAATTGAATCATACTGTTCTGTGTGGTTCAATACAAAAGTCACTAACCACATGTGGCTACTTAAATTTACATTTTAAATTATTTAAAATTAAAAATTCACTACCTCAACATTTTGATCAAAGATTGTATAGAAGAATCCTGATCAAAAGGGAGAAAATGTAGAACAGGATTTCAAATTCTCATGGAACTGAGATTTTTGGGAGCCATGGAGGCTGGATGAACCCCTGAAATGACTGCCCTGAAATAATATTTAACCCTTAAACCAAAAATATCTCCTGAAGTCTTTTTTTTTAATTGTTGTAAAGTTAACATTTCAAGTTAGTCTCACAAAATTTTATACATACATTGTTATGTGACCCTTATTGCTCACCCCATTCTGTGACAGCACACTCCTCCTTTTCATCCCTGATTCCCCATGTCCATTCAACCAGCTCCTAACCCTCTCTGCCTTCCCATCTCATCTCTGCACAGC